GGGCACCGTAAATAAAGGGAAAAGAGAAAGAGCTCCCCTGGGCTGACCCAGCAGGTCTGGAGCCAAGGCCCAGTGGGTGGAGCATTTCGTGCTGAAGCAGGTGCTCTGTGAAGCGCTGCACAGGAAGTGGCGGTGGGGAGAGAGCCGGTGATTCTCACTGGGGCCAACAGAAGATACTGTGAGTTGGTTTGAAGCACTGTGTGTCTGTGGAGAGAGAGCATGATCGTATCTGTGGGTGACGTGGGGCTGGCGGCCCACCTATCTGGACCCTTGGCTGGCTTCAGTCATCTGTATGGGAGAAGGCCCTTGTCTGGGGGTCTATCACAGGTCTATCCATAATTCAGAAGGCAAAATTAAGACCAGGTGGTTGGGGATGGCAGCTGATTTGCACATTAGAATTCACAGGCGGCTGTGCGGGGCCATCGAGTCCTTGGACTCATAGCAGCCCTGTGGGCTGACATCTTCACAGCCCTCCAGTGATTGATGGAGCCTCTTGGGTGTCAGTCCATCCCACTGATGGTCCTCCTCCTCTCTGCTGACCCTCTACCAAGTGTGATGGCCTTCTCCAGGGTCTGGCCCCTTCTGCTAAGATGTGCAAAGGACATGAGACAGCAGCTTCCCTGGCCGCAAAGAGACTCCACCACATGGTTACGGTCAACTCTAGTTAAAGAGGCAGCTCTTCCCCGTCTTATTTTGAGGGCCTTCCAACCAGAAAGGCTCATCTTCCTGCACTGTCAGACGGCTGTCCCACGGCCTTCATCACGCTTTCGCTGGCTACACTTTTCAGAAATGGACCCCTTCTTCCTAGGCCGTCTCGGTTTGGAAGTCCCCTCAGACCTCTTCACCAGGAGTGATCCTGCTGATACTCGAAATATCAGCGTCACAGCAGCGCGCAAGCCACCACAATATGACAAACTGTCAGACAGGTGGTAGGGGATCCATAGACCATCCCACGAATCGGGGAAAAACACAACTATCCCTCTGGCTTGTGGATTAGTTGGCAAGTATTTGTGGCGCCATTCTGTGCTGTGATGGCGATAAGGAAGTGTCTTCAGAGCTGGCCCTTGCTGTAGGGAGTTTCTGATCTCACTCGATGAAGCAGAGGTCCATGCGAAGAGATGAGAGGACAAGACATGGAGAATGCTTCCCCGGGGAAACGTAGATGAGAAGGCAGGCCTGTGAAGTATACTCCCACGCAGTGTAGTCAGGACCTGTTTAAAGAGGAAGCAGTATTCTGTGGTCCCCACATTAAAGGGACAGGATGAATCTGGTCTGAAACCAACTGGAAGGGCTTTGGACACACAGACTTGTGGGAAGAACAGGGCCTCAGGTTCGCGTCCCACCAAGGGCTCTATGTTGATTTATCATCTTGTCCTTCCCATGACTGACCTTTCTGCTCCCTCTCACAATTTGTAGGCGTCAACATCACAGCGGCCTTCCTAAACCAGAGGAGCGTTGAGCCCAGAGGGCCCTTGGTAAGAGTTGGGCACAAGGAGTGGAGGGACTTGTACCGATTGTGTCACAGCTGTTAGCAGAGGGAGGTTACCTGTGGTAGAAGGGTGGGGAAAGAGCCTTTCTTTGGGCTCTGGGATCAGCACCCAAGACCGGGTGCTCTTAGCCCATATGGAGATGTGAGTCATTACGGAAACAGTGTTCCTCTTTGCAAGCGAGGCCCCACACAGAGTGGCACAGAATGGGCACCCGCGAGCGAGTTCTGCGGTGTGTTAGGCCTGTCTCTTATGCCCTTCATCTCCTTTATTTCTCATAGCGGTGCTCAGACGTGATCTTCCCGTCTCTGTTTCCACAGAAGCTCAGAGAAATGTGCGTCACCTGCCTGAGTCATTCCGCGAGTGGCAGGGCCAGGATCACAGTTCAAGTCTGTGCCCCTAGGGGTCTCTCTGCGACAGACGTTCAATGCCGTTAGTGCATTTCTCTTTCAGCCGTCGAGCTGGTGAAAGGGCAAACGCTGATCTTCTGGGGCTGGAACGGTGCCAGAGTCTGCATTTCTGGACAGACAACCAGGGGATGTGGGTTGGCCGGCCACCCTTTGAGTGACAGGGCTCTATGGCCGGCTGTGTAGGCTCCTGGGAGGTGGTCAGGAGACACAGGTAGTGTCAAGAGGGCTCCAGTCCATCTGCTCTCTCTTCTTGTCCCTGCTCCAGCAGCAGTAGTAGAGGAAGCTTTACTCGGCCAAGTGTAAGAGGTTTCTCCCTAGCAGCTCCGGCTGTCCCACCAGGACACCAGCCTACAACGGCCTGCTGAGTCCCAGCTGTGCTGAGGGAGCAGTGCCGAGCCAGCACTCTAGACCGTGTGTGGAGCGAGCCAGAGCCAAGGCAGTCTCTTGACCTATATATTTGCCCTCCTCCAGACCAACGGTTTGACAGGATTATGGCCGAAAGAAGCATCATGCGATTGGGCCCCTGCTGTGCATTTTACTAGTACAAGGCTCTCACATTTGACGTCAACCAGAGATCTGAAAATCTGGATTCACACCAAGGGTGAACTGGGAGCCGATTCTTTTATGAAATTGCTATTCCGTTCCTTTGCCCAACGAGTTTTCTTGCTGCTAAACCGAGGATGGGTTCATAGAATCTGGATTAGGCACAGCTTCTCAGGAACCCTGGTATTGGGTGAGGCAGAATCTCGCTTTGGGGCCGCTGCCAGGGTTGGCCTCTTTGGTGGGAGTTCAGGCGAAGCTGTGGTGGGGAGGCCTCCCCCGTCCCCAGGTCTAGACTCAGAGCTCCTGCGAGTGACCGTGTGCCATGGTACGGCTGGGTGTTACAGGGCAGCTCCAGTATTCCCACATCTTCAGTCCATCCTAATGTCCTTTCTCTTTGTAGGTCAATTCTGAATTCTACACAGGCTGGCTAGATCACTGGGGCCAACCGCACTCCACAGTCAGTACCCAGGCAGTGGCTTCCTCGCTCTATAACATCCTTGCCCTTGGGGCGAATGTGAATTTGTAAGTGCTCACTGCTCGAGGGGAGGGGCCCTGGAGTGCTGAGGCTCACGGTGGAGGCTTACTGCCTGCTCTCTCTGTTCCCTGCAGGTACATGTTTATCGGTGGGACCAATTTTGCTTACTGGAATGGTAAGTGCAATGCAACACCTACTTGTAGAGAGTTCTTCAGGAATGTTTCTGATGGTTGAGCCGATTGACAGTTTTGAGGTTCTTTTCTCTGTTCTGTTTATGTCTTTTCCTAAATTTTGGTTAATGGGAGAACTACCTATTTTCCCATCATCATCGTCTTTTTGTGGGTAGGGTTTGTCCCCTATGTTTTATTTATTTTGTGGCCGTCACTCTTGAGAGTGCACGTACAAGTCTCAAAACGTGCACGGACTCTGCACTGTGCGCGGACAAGTCAGTACCGCGACAGACGGCGGCCTTCAGGTTGGGCAACAGTCTCGCTCTCCTCTGAGCAGGTCTTCCCTCATTAACATAAACCCAGACCCCGCCCCGCCCCGCCCCCAAGTTTCCGGTGTCATCTTTTGAGTGACAGTTGTCCCTTTGCTGCTGTAAAGATAGTTTGGAAAAGAACCCAATGCTCAAGGCACATCTTTTTCTTTTCTTTTTTAAATTTTGAATCATTTTATTGGGGCTCATACAACTCTTATCACATTTGTGCATTCATTGTCCTCATCATTCTCAAAACATTTTCTTTCAACGTGAGGCTTTGGGATCAACTTCTCTTTTTTTTCCCCCTCCCTCATGAACTCTTGATAATTTGTAGATTATTCTTTTTTCATGTCTTACACTGACCAATGTCTCCCTTCACCTACTTATCTGTTACCCATCCCCCTGGGAGGGGGTTATAAATAGATCATTATGATTGGTTCCCCTTTCAACCCCCACCTTTCCTGTCCCCTCCTGGTATCGCTACTCTCATTATTGGTCCTAAGGGGTTTATCTGTCCTGGATTCCCTGTGTTTCTAGCTCTTATCTGTACCAATGTACATGTTCTGGTCTAGCCAGATTTGTAAGGCAATATTGGGGTCATGATAGTCGGGGGAGGAAGCATTAAAGAACTAGAGGCAAGTGTATGTAAGGCACATCTTTTTCACAAGGTAAATTAAACTACTGTTTATGTTTGTTTGTTTTTAAGACCATTTAATTGGGGGCTCTTACAACTCTTATAACAATCCACATATCAGTTGTATCAGGCATATTTGTACATATGTTGCCATCATTATTTTCTAAACATTTACATTCTATTTGAGCCCTTAGTATCAGCTCCTCTTTTTACCCTCTCCATCCCACCCTCCTGATCTCTTAATAAATTATAAATTCTTATTATTTTCATATCTTACTACTGTTAGGTTTTAAGAAGGCTTCAGGGGACATTTTTGGTTTCAGGTTTAAAGACTACCTCAGAACTTTAACAGACTTTCCGGGGCTCATCCACTCTCCGTGGCTCCAGAAATTCTAGAATCCGTGAGGATTTAGAATTCTGAATCTTACCTGTTTTTATCAGGATTAGTCTACGGAATCTCTGATCAGAATACCCAGTGATGGTAGCTGGGCACCATTAAGTTCTTTTGGTCTCTTGGCAGAGGAGGTGGCTGCTCATGAATGCGATTAGCCCTGCATTTCATATCCTTGTTCTGTTCCGTACCCTCTGTGTTAGTCTGGGTAGACTAGAGAAACAAATCCAGGGGGACTCACATGTGTATAGGAAAGAGCTTTGTATACAAGAGCAATGGAACATTGAGAAAACATCCCAGCCCGGTCCATATGAAGTCCATAAGTCTGATATTAGCCAATATGTCCAATACCAGTTTATAAGTTCCT